TAGGTTGGCAAGGACCCCTTTGCAAATAAGCTCTGCGCACTTGATCTTGGACAGTAGGATTGTAATCCAAAAATCGAGTTTGTAGCCCAGGATTTAAAGGAAGATCAGCCAGATTGATTTCCTCACATTGACATTTTGCAGTACCATGATTTAATGCATCTGTTCTTAGAGGAGGTGACAATTGATCTGTCGCTTTTCTTTTAAAATATTTCTCCATAACTGTTTTAAAAGTAAATTTCAAAAATCAGATGATAAAGAATCATATAAAGATTATTGTTCTTGATTTGATATAATAAATAAATAACTAATTAACAGACCACAAATACAATAAACTATAAAAATAAAAAATAAAAAATTACACCAAAAAAAATTACACTATTATGGTTAAAGACTTACTGAATTAGTCGTCACAATTCAATGAAACAAAGTTGAATTCTTGTAGAGAATTAACTGTAGAGTTGGAGAGAAACAAAGAATTGAATAATTGATGCAAACGAAGGCTTGAAATAGAATAGGTTTAATTCACGCAGTGCAAAGTTGAAATAGAATAGGGTTAATTTAAGCAGTGCAAAAGGTTGTCTGCTTTAGCTTTTAGGTTAGTAGTTCTTTAATTGAGAAGTTATTAAATAAAAGTAAAGAAAAGAAAAAACGAAAGCTGAGAATGGTCATATTTTAATAATAATTTATATACAACAGGTAAAAAGTATTGAATGTAGGGTTATTTAAGGAATTTCAGGAGGGTCAGCTGACCCTTGTGGGCATTCATTGGCTCCGCCTTTGCCTGGGGAGTGTTGGCCAAATGCCCTTCAATGCCTAAGTCAGTTAAATGATCTTGAGAAAGATGAGAAGATAATAGAAAGGTCGGAGTTTTCTCTCACGGGGAGAGCCGGGCTGCCTTAGCCGTGTGTGGTGCCTGGAAACCCTTGCAAGAGAGAGAGAGAAGAGAGAGGGACAAGAAGAGAGAGAGAGAAGAGAGATGGATGGGAAGAGAGAGAGAGAGTGAGAGTGATTTCTCTATGGTTTCAAAATTACCTCATGTATGTTGTGTAACCATGTATTTATAGTCTCCTTGCTTGGCTAGGGTTTGAAGAATAACCCTTATTTAATTAGGATTATTCTTATCCAAAAATATTATAGGAGTTAATCAAAGAAATTTGCTTGAAATTGGTTCCTTGATATAGGGAGGTACTCTTATCTTAAATCAAAGATAATTCGCTAATTAAATAGGATTTTGGGTAAACTGCCGAATCGCCCCCTGAACTTGTACATATCTATCAATTTATCCCCTGACCTTTTTTTTAGTAAATTAAGGGCTCGAATTAAATTTTATTATCAATGTTCCCCCCACCGTCAAAATTCCCACATTTCATCCATTAATCCGTTCATTTGAGGGTTGTTTTGGTCATTCCTAAGTGGTTTTAATTACCCAGGGTTAAATAGGTCAGTTCTCACACTTCACACACTTCTCACATCTCGCTCAATTTGGTAAGGTTGGACAGCCACTAACCTCACCCACTCCATCCCTCCCCTATCTCCGACAGCCAGTAACGCAACCCCATCAATTGAATCAATCCTTACACAGGCATCTTTCTCCTTCAATTAATCAAACCCAAAAAAAGTTCTTGTATTTCTTTTACTCATCAAACCTAGTTTCTCCTTTTCAATTCATGAAACCCAGTCAAATACAAAATGATTAAACTAAACAAACCCAGAAGCTCAGAAATTCATACCTTTAGACTAATGTCTCATCTCAAAATGAAATCACCATATTTGAAGGGAAGATTCCCAAACCAGCACACCAGACCAAGCTATTAGAAAGAGGTTTAACAAATTTGGGTCAGGTTTGATTTTGTGCTTGAGGTGGTCGTGAGTTGCAGGTATGGGTCTGGTTGGTAGTCATATTTCTTTTTTTCCTTTTTTTGGGAGGGATGGGTGTGCTGTGAATTTTTTTTTAGGAGGGCTAGGCAATCGTGCGAAGGGTGGGTGGGGTGGGGCTGTTGCAGGTCCAAGAAGCGGAAAGGGAATGAGGGAGATATCGACATGGAGATGGTGGCTGTCCAACCCTACCAAACTGGGAATGACCAAAATAACCCTCAAATGGACGAATTAATGGATTAATGGATGAAATGTGGGAATTTTGACGGTGGGGGGAACATTGATAATAAAATTTAATTCGAACCCTTAATTTACTAAAAAAAAGGTCATGGGGTAAATTGATAGTTATGTACAAGTTCATGGGGTAATTCGGCAGTTTACCCTAGGATTTAATAGGGTAATTAGTTGACCTAAGGAATATTCCTTTTTCCACGTGTCATCTTCTTATTGGCTTCTGAAATATATGTTCCCACACTAAACGAACCCTAAAATTAAGGGTATACTGCCAAATTGCCCCCTGAACTTGTACATAACTCTCATAGTACACCCCTGACCTTTTTTTTCTCAAATTAAAGGCTCGAATTAAATTTTATTATCAATGTTCCCCCCACCGTTAAAATTCGAATATTTCATCCATTAATCCGTCTATTTGACCCACATTGACTCTTTGTGTGAGGGTTATTTTCATCATTCAGCACGGATTGAATTAGTAACCTCTCTCACATACTTCGCACATCGCTTTCAGATTGGTAGGGTTAGAAAGGTACCGAATCGAGGGCGGGAAAAAGGACGAAATCAAAGGTTGGAGAGGGAAGAAATCGAAGGTTGGTGAGAGAGAGAGAGAGATGAGGACGAACTTATCTGGCAGCGTTGATGGGTCACACAGGGGGAGTTCAGAGTTGAAAGATGGCAATTCATGGATGTTGCCATCACGGGTCTGCTACTGTGGGAAGGTTGCAAAAATTCAGACTTCTTGGACCTCGTCACATCCAGGACGAAGATTTTATGTTTGTGCGCAGGTGAGTTGAATTTTGAAGTTTGGGTTTCAAATTTGCAGTTTTGAGTTTCCACCTTTTAAAACTCTGTGTTTGCAGAAACGTTGTCAAATGTGGGAGTGGGGTGACCCTGTTATGTGCAATAGATCTAAGCAAATAATTCCAGGACTGCTGAGGAGAATTAACAAGTTGGAAGCATAAAAAAAGAAAGGGAATTCGAAGCTGAAAAACCCATGGTTTGGTGTCATTGTGCATGTTTGGGGTTATTATGTGCTTGATTTCGAATGAAGATAAAGGCACCAATGGGCAGGTGTAGAAAGGGATGGGTAGTTGGCATTTTGGTTTATGGCACAGCTTGGCATATTGTAAGTTTTTGTAAGGGTTAGAAAGGGATGGGTGGTTGGCATTTTGCAATGGTTAGAAAGGGATGGGTGTTTGGGGTAGAAATAGATGGGTAATTGGCAATTTGTAATGGTTAGAAAGAGATGAGTGATTGGGTTTTTGTAAGGGTAAGAAAGGGTGTGTAATTGGCAATTCTGAGTGTTGTGACCATTGTAATGAATGTAAGAATTGTTTTGGTGAATGAAAATGCAAACTGTCATTTTGACCATTGAAATAGTAACTATAACACCAAATGAACTGCACTTCAAAGTATGTCAAAATTCAACATTTGAATTCACATATGATTACATCAAAGCTTGTCCAAATTCAGTTTCAAAAATACATCTTCATCCATTCACTTCAAATCAAAATCAGTTCAAAAATATACTAGCAAATAGATTGCAAACCAAAATGATCCAGAACACCAAAATGAACATCACAACTCTTCAACCATTCACTTCAAATTGCTGACTAAACTCCATGGCCTTATTTGTTTTGTTGGAGATTTTAACCTAGGCCTTTTTGGAGAAGTTACCATTGGTTGAGGTTGTGAACTTTGGGCAGGTTGTGAAGGACCTTGTGAACTTTGGGTAGGTTGTGAATGAGCTTCTGAACTTGAAGGTTTCACATGTTGGGAACTTGAACCTTGGGTAGGTTGTGAACCAGCAAATAAATTGGTCTTCCTTATGACATGGGGGCCATGAGCTCCTCTTTTCACATGTTGCAAGCATAGATCCCTTAAGCCTTCAATGATGCAATGATTGATTCAAAACACACCACAATAATCCAAGAACTTACATTAAACTTTGTTCTGGCCTGAGTTTGTTGTTGTTCACTCACAACACCTCTGCCTCTCATAACACCTCTGCCCTTGACAGTTGTTGTTCCACTTGCATTGACACTTGCAGTATCAACACCTCCATTACTAGTTGCAGCTCCTCTTCCCCTTACAGCTCATCTTCCCCTTCTACCACCTTTTGCTCTAGCACCTCTAGGTTGCCCCTTCATTGTCAAGAACAACAAATCACATGTTAACATAGCAAAAACAATCCAATCACATGTTAACGTAGCCATTTTCAACAAATGAAATGTGTAAACAAATAAATTAAGAACAATTCTAACCTGTCCATTTTGGGGACAACCAGCAAAATTGTGACCTTCTTGTCCACAGTTGCGACATGTCATTACAATGCCATACCTTTTAAGTTTTGTTGCCTCTTTTGGTATTTCATCAAGTTCTTTATTTCTGCTAAGTTTGGGCCTTCCTGGTTGGGTACATGCCTTGTTTTTTTCCAATATGCTTGACTAGGCATTGGAGATATATAGCCCTCATAAGCCCTATCATATGCCGGCCTTTTGTAAAGTGCATGCACAAAATCCAGAGGTCTGTGCTCACTCTTTACTATTGCAGCCAAGGCATGTGGACAAGGAATTCCACTTAAGTCCCATTTTCTGCAGGTACATGTATGCCTTTCTAAATCCACAACAAACATAGCTCCCAACATGCTATTAACTTGATACTTCCCCCCACCAGCATACAAAGCTATGCAGTGGCCACTTTCAATTGAATTCTTCTCCACAATAGCAAATATTCTTGGACCAACCTCATGGGGTCACACTGTCTCTCTAAGTCTAGCCATTCTAAGCATAAAGTAGGTTCTAATTCTCTCCAAAAGAGTAACAATGGGTTTATCCCTTGCTTCTAGAATTGCAGCATTAAAAGACTCACACAAGTTGTTTAGAAGTATATCACACTTTGGTACTAAAGTGTGATCTACTCCAATGAGCAGTTGGTCTCTCCTCAAGCCACTTATAAGCTGCCTCAAATTGACCCAACATCTGCTCCATTTCAGCTTCAAATACAGGTATTATTGTTGCCCTAGATGCTGCCCACAACCTCTGCTTCAAAGCATTACCAGTATGGCCTGCAAGCTTGAAATTATTGTGCAAGTGCCTCACACAATGCCTGTGCTCAGCATTGGGCATCAAAGCATGAATGGCATTCCCTAAACCCTTTTGCTTATCAGTAATGAAAACCCACCCATTGCCATTTTGAATACCTACATCTTGAAAGAATATGTCAAAGAACCAACTCCAAGTCTCTGTGTTTTCAACTTCAACAACAGCAAAAGCAATTGGATACATCCCATTATTTCCATCAACCCCAACTGCACTTAGAATTTGTCATGGATGAGAACCCTTAACATGGCACCCATCAAAACCCACCACTTGTCTACATCCTTTCACAAATCCTTTTTTAAGTACTCCAAAACATATATAAATCCTCTTAAAAATAGGATTCTCACCCTGCAAATCAGTCTTCACAATGACTGTACTTCCAGGGTTATTGCTCTTTAACTCCTCACAATAATCCCACAACTTACCATATTGCTCTTGAATACTACCTTGAATTCTGAGTTTTGCAAAACTCTTGGCTTTATAAACTTGAGCCTCAGTTACATCTATGGCATATTGTTTCCTTATTAACTTCATGAAATCTGTCACTTTCATATTGGGATTATCTCTTAACTCCTCATCAAACCTCTCAGACAACCATGATGAAGTGGCATACTTGGTTCTTTGCCTCCTTCCACATGTATGCCTTGGAACATATGTCTTAATCCTTGTAGTTGGACCTTTCCCCACATGAGAAGCATATAGCATCCATGGACATGGAACCTTTTGTTTATTATCTCCTTCACATTTGAGCCTCACCCTATACGAATCATTCCTCACCCACTTCAATGGCCTTACACATGAAACTGCATAATACCTTATTGCTTCCCTACATTGCTCCATGTTCGTAAATTCCATTCCCAAATGAAATGTTGGCTTTAGCAAATCAGATTCTCTTCTAAACTGCTTAAACCTAGGAGCTTTTCTTATGCGGCTACGGTTTTTCACAACTTCATCCTCATCAGATTCTTCATCAAAACTTACAAGTTCGTCGGTATCGTAGTCTTCACTGTCAACCTCACCAAGTTCTTCATTGTATTCTTCATTTTCTTCATCAACTACATGTTTATCAAACAAGTTATCATCCTCTTCCAAGACTGTTGTTCGGTTCATTTTTACACATGATTTTTCATGTTATTCACCCACTATTTTGAGTTAGTTCTTGACATTTTATAGCTTTTTACTTCTTTTTTGTGTTTTAATAGGTTTTACTTTGGTTTGTATGAAAATGAGCTAAAAGTGCATTATTTGATATAAATTCTGTTTTTGTTCATTTTCGTAGGTCAACTTCGTGGCCTTGGATCAGCATGTTCCGGTCCTTGGATGAGGTGATGATCTTCATAAGACTTGTTCCAATGGATGTTGACTACAACATATCCAAATTTGAGCTCCATTGGATAAGTATTGCCTATCCAACCAATCCAGCATGTTACCACAGCTCTGGAAATCCGAGTTGGCCAGTTTTCACCTCCACTTAGTGTGATCTTACTTCTACTTGTTACCATGCCTTTCGTAACAATATTTCACTTTAGTTAAGTGGAATTTTCTGAGAGTATATTTGTGAGGACAAAACTTCATCATGAGAGGAGACAAGAAAACAAAGGCAAAAGTGTGCCATGATGAAAAGGAGGAGAGAGAGGAGCATAGAGAGGAATCAATTGACTTTGGGGCAGCAGCTAGGAACGGATCATTCATTCAGTTTTTATTACAATTTGCAGAGACTTTCTAAAAGCTGGGAGCTAGAGAGCTAGAGGAGGAAGACAAAGTCATCCAAGCAAGAAGTGGAAGAGATTTCCACCATTGAAGACCTTGAGCTTCCACCTTCACAAAAGCTGTAACTTCTTTCTAGTTTTATTTCGAACTTGTGTTTGAAATGATTATGAGGAACTAAACTCCATAGCTAGGGCTTAGGTTGAAGCCCTAAACATGATTACCTTATTGTTTTGATGCTTGAGTGTATGAATTTCTAGATATTGTTGATGAATTCCAATTCACCAAATTAATCTATCCTTGATGTATGTTCTTCTTTGATTGATCACCTTTGAAAGCATGCTTCTTGAGATTGTTGGGATTATGTGTATCCTCATGTTATCCTAAGCAATAAATGGATGAAGTAAGAATCATCCATGTGAATTGGTTTCTTGAATACCTAATGTAAACACCATGCTATTAGGATTCTTGTGATGTTCATATTCTCTTTGAACTTAATGGGTTCTCCTTGTAATTGAATCGAAGTACGAACCATACCTAGGTTCGCTTATGAGGAGGGCACAAGTATTGTAGCACGAACCATGCACATTACGTATATTAGAGAGAATCAATGCGTCTTGAGCCACGACCAATGGTCTTGATTGCGAACATCTTCATCAACAAGTTTAGAGTTCATCACTTGAGTACCCATGAACATAGGTAGAATTGTTTAGGGTGGATTCCGAAACCCTAGTGTTTGTTACATTTTAATTTCACAATTTGATAATTCATCCCTGCTATTCTCATTTAAATTCAAAGTTCATTTACTTTCATGCAATAGAAATAGGTCACTTCAAACAAATCAAAACCCCCCCCCCCCCAAATGTGTGTGTGAGTTGCGTGTTCGACACATTGTGTGTCTTGTTTACTGAATTCTGTTTATTTGCGTAACTGTTTTGGACTTTTGGTCTGCGTTGTGTTCTTCGTTTTTGTGTGCTGAATCCAACCGTGTAAAGAACGTGAAATTTGGATAAACGGTTGGAAAGTTATAGGCAAAACACTGGACAGAGGTCGAAACTAAAAAACAGAGAAAACGAATCTGCCCAAAAACGACCGGTCGCTTTTACCTGA